ACTCTGTGCTTCTGTTTTTGTTTCTGTTTCTGCTGCAGGGGTGAAAAGGTTGTCGAAGGGGACTTCTTTAACATCGGGTAGATGGTGCAACGACGAGGAGTCATGTGTCGATAAAGACGAAGGTGAAGAAGGCTGCTCGGGAGGGGGCATTGAAGGCAACCGGGCCAGTAAAAAGATAAAGATAATAAAGTGAAGAAGATAAGTGAAATGAATGCATTCATTTAAATATGCAATGCCTGTATGAATTTGTAATTTTTTGTTTAGGTTTTGGAGGGGTGTTTTGGAGGGAATATCAAATTTTCCTAAAAAAATTCACCATCTAAACAAATTTAATGAATGTAATGTATGGTGATGGTGAATGTAATCCCTGTAGTTTGAGACATGGGCAGTACGGATGGGTTTTTTGGGGTATGATTGCCTGCCATAGTTAATGTGATGCGTACTCCACTAGCTATAAAATTTTGCTTTACACTATTCATGAGTTATTGCAATTTTGCTTTTTGATTAGGGTTGGGGGGTAAATTGGGGAAGTCAAAGCAAAAAATTGGTCCCCTTATTTTGCTAAAAAGTCAAAATGGGTAAGACTCAAAGGGACGGAGGGAGTATATTCTTATTATTATTATTATTAAGGTGACACTAAATCCATACTCTATCTATAATTAGCATAAGCCTCCGTTTGGTACACGGAATTCAAGCCAGAATTGAAGACTTCAATTTCAATTTTGCTATTTGATAACACATAAATATGTGGATTTGAAATACGTAGTGCAAAACCCGAATTGAATTGAAGAATTCCATTGCAGCTAGTTCAATTCTATAAAATTGTAATTTAAATTTCATTCTAATTTCGTCAATTTCGTGTACCAAACAGACCCTAAATTTACTTCGGTCGGGTTCCTGTGGCACTGGACAACGATGTCATTCTGGTGTCACTGAATGTTCTGGCATTTCGCTTCTAAAATTGATGATTCATAATACTCGGAAAATCGTTTGTCCTGGCCCGACATGAACCCTCTTCTATTTAGACTCCAACTTTAGAATAGATTTTTTTAAACTCAAAGTCAACTAAACTGGTAGTAGATAAGAATATAATTAGAGTGGTTTAATTGAGCAGAAAACTGCTCCTGGGTACCCCATATTTTGAGAAACTAACTGTCAGGTACCTCACATTTTCAAAATATATACTCCGGGGTACCTTCTATTTTGAGAAACTAACTATCGGGTACCTCACATTTTTAAAATATATTCTGAGGTACCCTCTATTTTGAGAAATTAACTATCGGGTACCTCATATTTTTAAAATATATTCCAGCATACCTCCAAATATACATTAATTTTACGCCATTAATTTTAAGAAATAGGGGCTTGGAAATTTTAAAAGTAACCGAGATCTTTTTATTTTGAAGAAAATTGTACTCAATACTTTTAAAATTGAGTACTCAATTTTCTTCAAATTAAAAAGATCTTGATTTTTTTTTAAATTCCAAACCCCTATTTCTTAAAATTAATGGCGTAAAATTAATGTATATTTGGAGTAATCTTGGAGTGTATTTTATAAATGTGAGGTACCCGATAGTTAGTTTCTCAAAATAGAGGGTACCTCGGAGTATATTTTAAAAATGTGAGGTACCCGATAGTTAGTTTTTTCAAAATAGAAGGTACCTCGGAGTATATATTGAAAATATAAGGTACCTGGCAATTAATTTCTCAAAATATGGGGTACCCAAGAGCAGTTTTCTGTTAATTGAGCAACAAAGAACCGGCTAGTTAATCCCTTTTTTTCTGTTTGAACAATTGTGCTGAATTATCATCATGTCGTTACTCACATATCGGGACGGGGACGTTTTCGTAACTAAATGCATAGCATTTTAGCCAATATAATTGGCGTTGGATCAGAAAGGCAGCATTTCTTTGAGCCAAAAATACTTTTTAACATATTCAGAAATTATTGTCCAATGTGGTGATTATTTTTTTATTAAATTCTGATACGGAGTACTATTTGACTATGAACTTTAATGAAAATATATTTAATTACTAGGTATAATATAAATTTAATAAAACTGACATCATTTGAGACATCATTTAAGACGTAATATTGAAATATCAATTTCTATAAAATTTACTCGATATTTTATTTTAAATGATACTACGTACTACGGTATTTCATTTATGGTCTCACTAAAAACAAACTAGAGCAAGAGTTTTAGATTTGAGGGAGTACATTTTATGTGTTCCTAAAAGTCGTTTCACATTTGGTAAAGTTAGTTTCTTCATTTCTAATTAATCATCTTAGTTTGACTTTACGAAATTTAAAAACAATAGTGAAACATGAAAAAATGGCTGCTTAAACTATGTTTAGAACTGAAGAAAGTAAAAAGTGTACTTATAAATATTTAAATTTTTAGGTTATGATGTAATTTATTAATTATATTTTTCTATAAATAGAACAATTATTTTAGTGAAGACTAAAAAGAAAAGTATGACGATTAATTCGACACGAAGAAAGTAATATATAGGGTAAATACGATCTCACTTCATCTTTGCTTTTATTTGGTAAATCTAATTCTGCTTATGGTGCATGAGTTTAGAGTGCAAAATAGGCTCCAAAAGTACTTTTTAGAAAACTTGAGATTATATGCTTTTAGCTTATGTATTCAACCTATGTTTTTTAAGAATCCACCGCGGTATCAAACATCCTCTTAATAGAGGTGGATAAGTGATTTTAGTCAAAAGAGAATAATTTTTTGGACAAATGAAAAAAATAAAGATATCTAAAATCAATTTGATCTAACTAATGGTAAAAGTTTATCAATTATGACGGCAAAAAGTTAAAAATAAAAAATGAATAAACATTCTAAGGTAAGATGGAGTGAGGGAGATAGTATACTTTTTAAACATTGTATGGTGAAAAGGCTAAAATATTACGTTAGAGATTAACGTTAGTGATTTTAATTCAGGACTAGTCTATATATAATTAAAATATTATTCGAAATAGTAACGCTAATCGAAAATGTGGTTTTCAAACAAGGTCATAGAGTATATCTCTAATTTTTTTGGGACAGAATATATATCTCCAATATGAGAAAACAAATATAAAGCCCCTTTTGATATGTCTCATTCCCTCCTTTAGATACTTTGCCGATAAGTCGCACTCTGAGAGCATTATTTACCACTATAAACCCAACCAAGCAAACAAAGATAAAAGTTGCAGATATCGACCACTCCATTTATCCATATATTGCCTCATCTTCACGTACGTGCCTTAGCTTAATTGATACCCAACCCTTTCATTTTCCCCTCTCTATTTGGCCTTTTTTTTTGTAGTTCTTTATGAGGTGAAAAAAAAATTAAAATAAGAGTAAAAATTTAAAATATATTAAAATAGAAGTTCAATATTTTTATTCCAGAAATATGAGTTAAAATGCCTATTCAGTGTCAATCGTGACCATATACATTATTAAAAAGTACTCTGTAATACCTCTATACAGTGTCACTTACATTACTATCGTGCAAATTCCCATTTTTGAGATAAAATAATAGAACTATTATTTTAGTGTTTTTCTATATTTTACTCTTTTTTAGACTAATTTTTTAAAAAGATTTACAGACTACATTTAAAAGGATACACAATTACTTTTCTATCTTGTCATGGATTAGCCAAGGCATTCAAAGGGATTAAACAAGGGTTCACATGACCAAAGTCTATTACTATGATTAGTCTTTCACATTATTAGAATCTCATGTCATCTACATGACTACATTAGAATCTCTTGATCTTACCTGATCCAAAAAATTAACGGTTTGAATCTTTCCAATCCACTCCCTAAACTCTTCGCCCTATCTCGGCCTACCCCGATCCTATCCAAACTTATCCCCACCTCTTCAATAAAATCGCCTACATACCCAATTTTAGTTAACTTTGGGATCAAATATTTTGACCTCAAAGTCCATTAAAATTAGAGGATGCAATACTACAATTGAAGTACTTAGGGGTGGGGATCGGGTCGGGTTGGGTCAAGCCAGTGTAGTGTTTAGGGAGTGAGTTAGGAAGAATACGAATCGTCAATTTTACGAACAAGACATTGTAAGACATTCAATTGAAACTGATATACTATTATACTGCGAGTTATTTGTCATTGTTAAATCTAGAAGTTTTCTTCTATATTAATTCATTGGTTCATCATTAAGTGCTTATATATGTACATATACTTGCAATATATATTGTTTAATAGAATATCTTACTGTAATGGTACTCTATACAATTATACAAATTGTTTGTATAAGTGCATCTCCAATACTACTGTATATATTCAATTTTGTATAAGTACACCCCTTAGTTCCCATGACATTGGGAATCAATGTCATGGGATGACCCGAGGGCGCTCCG